AGTTGAAGGGAATATCCGAGTAAGTGTTTCAGTTAAGGGTAAAAGACTGGAGTCAACTCTGATCTGATTGAATAGGTGGTCAATGTTGGACCGTCAAGATTGTTAGTGAAGAAAGCTATTCTGTTTTTGCAATAAGCTCCACTGAAGGCCATACAAGTAGGCAAGCAAAAGGCATACTTTTAAACCAGTTTGGATTTAGAAGGCATTTGTCAGGTCCATTTAACTTTTAACAGCCTCCAACAATAAATAAGGTACACAGTAACAGAGAGCTGGGCCCATGGCTATGCCAGGGCATAGCTGCCTGTAATTTAATGAGGTGGCATAAAGAAGACTAGAAAACAGCTTGTTTATGCAGAGTAGATGGTTTAGGGTGTGCACCCTAGCAGGTACTCTCCAACTCCGACAACGTACACAACCTGTGCAATTCCAAAGAGTGGGGCAATAACAAGGGCCCGGCAACTTGCCCCCTTCAGGAACGCTCCGGGACCCTCCTTTCTCAGGATCTTTCTGCAATGGGAGAGAGAGTGCAGGTTAAATAAAAATGTAACCTTTTCCGTTCATGTGAACCCTGGAGAAGGAAAGGCATTTACCTGATACAGTCCACTACGCCATTGTAGGTTTCCTCATTAGCTCCTTTCTTGAGTGACTGTAGCCTGGTCTTGACCACTGCACAAGTGAAAGAAAGCTGAGATATTAGTTGAACATTTATAAAAAAATACATAAGAATTAAAAATAGTCTGGTAACCAGATATCTGCATAGACTGAGTCACTCACCGTCAAAAGGGCTGACAGTGACAGCAGCAATGCATCCAGCTAGGCATCCAGACATGAAGGACCAATAGAAGGGCACAGCAGGGTCTTCAGGGGAACGCCGGCCGAGATGGTGCAGATGTGCAAAAAGAGGGAAGTACACAACGGAGAATGGGATGTCCCTGAAAATGCAATAAAACATGCATGTTCACCACCTCAATATAAAAGCTGTCAAACCATGTAAAACCAGTTGAGCAAAATCAAGCACGAGATTCGTTCTCACCTCATCAATGTTGCTCCGAGTCCCCGGTACAGTCCTTTGACTCCTTTGGTCCTCAGCAGCTCTCTGGTGATCTGTGTGGCGGACACTCGCATGATTTGAGGTGCAGGGCTGGTGTTGTAGGAACGGCTAAGAACAGCACTGGTCCCACCCATTTTCAGAGCCGATACGACACTAGGCACCCCCCTCTGCTGGGCCGCTGGCAGGTACAGGAGAAATGCATAATTATAATTGTTATTTTTAGAACATCACAAAAGCATTATTTGATCCTTTTTTCTGCTGATTTCCTTTTAAATTACCTAGCCTTCCAGCATCCTGCAACTGGATCTTGAGCATCTCCATGGGTGTGGTGATAATGACCTGACACATTCCTGCACAGCATCCTGCCAACATCTCCTTGAACACCGTCAACCTGCTGATGAAGACATGAGACATGGATGTTGTTAAAACCAAGAATAAAATCGCAGTACAGAAGTCAGCTTTATTTAGCGCTACTACTCACCCATCTTTGCTCAACTGTTGGCGGAAGAAGTCATTAGCAGCTAGCTTGATGGCCTTCTCGGGGGTTACCAGGGTGAGATTTACTGCAGCACCTGCAACAAGAGAGGTCCACAAACGTAATTTAGATGAAACATTAGAATACAGAAAGATGTCTGTCAAATGAATTATTCCACATCACAGATATCAATAGGATAAAGTAGCAATGGTTTATTCAAGGCATAGGATCTGCTAATGTGGTCACTGCCTTACAAGATGAACCAGTAACCTATTGACAAGCAGTAACATGATGGGATGAAAAAAATTCACGAAAACTTGGCATAAGAAAAGCGTTATTTTTTGGTAGACAGATTAGATTCCTGTTTAGGACACATTGCCAATTGAAATGTATCACAGAACCCCCCAAAAAGTTATATTTGATACAGTATACTTGGTAATCCAATTAAAGAGCCTACTCAGACATAGAAAACGTTCAGCATGTTATGAACAATGTGATTAGTCTTACCTCTGTACATGCCAAAGTAGCCTTCAGATTTAACTGTCTTTATAAGGCAATCCATCCTGAACAAAAAACAGGAATTGATAGTTATGCACATTGTTTATAGGAAACACTTAAAGGTGGGGTAGGTAATTTTGGAGAAACCAGCTCGAGTGCGCTAGAATTTGAAAATACACAACCGGAAAAAATCTGCCACTTCCTTACAGAGCCCCTCCTCCAACACACACAAACGCGCACATGACCAATGAGGGCACGAGATAAGTTTGTGCACAGATGGAAGGCTGACAGGCAGGTAGGCCATCCAGTTATTTTAGCCGGGCCGGCTCAAATGATTGGTCGTGCTTTTTACAGCGCTACGGCTTCCACAGATGATTTTTTTATGTATTTATTGTCAAAGCATTTAATATATTCATTGCTATCGGGATGTTAAGAGCAATCCATGGAATATAACAAAAAGTGTTTCTGAAATAAATTACATACCCCACCTTTAATGTGTATGTAACATAACAGAGTATAAAACTTAACATGAACATTGGCAAGGTAATGGTTGTCAAATAATGTTGATTATAAATTGGTCACAAAAAGAAATTAATAAATACTGATAATCTAGACAGTTTAACTTGGGTCGACCAGCCTTTGCTGGGCTCAGTTTCTTAGCATCTCGGAAAACAATCTAATCAGAAAGACACATTACTGTAAATATACAACTGAAAGGTGACAAATATGACAAATATGTATAAATAGAGTGGCAGAAGTGCAGCATTTGCCCATTTAAGTAAGTTAATTCCAAATCAAGGAAAAGAGCAGGGGGGGGGGGTTTCTTACATATTTTTGTAGAGTTGTTGCCCGCTGCGCTGGTTCTGCAGGCGGGTCTTGGCCAGGTCAATTGGAAACACACAGGTGACTCCCACCATGCCTGCAATCCCTCCATTGATCAGTTTGGCTGGGAGGCTGTTTAAGTACAAGTCAAAACAGACATGTGCATTACAATCATTCCTTTTAGTCCTCAAAGTGGACTAAAAGGTGTGGCAAAACCTACTGAAACTGAACTAAAGCAGTACAATTAGTGGTCTGATAAAGCACATTCTTAGGGACTTTCTCTCCATTGGAAAATTATTTTTTACTTTAATATTTTTTAACTTTAAAGGGTGTCTGTATACTGTCTGTATACTGTATGTGAGGCCTTAGCATTGCAACTGAACTGAGTATAATGTGACTGCCTCTGGGAATATGCGCTTCCAAAAATAACTTGACGACAGAGTAAATAAAACATACACATATGTCCAGAGGCAGTCGAATCCTAAGGCTTCATTGATTTGCCACGTTAGCCTTGGAGAAACAGAAGGCTAACTATAACAATTTACAAGACTTCAGAGTTAAATAATCAGCAAGCTTTATTTCTATATTGTACTTTGAGCAGGCTACATATGGTGTCATGCTGGATTTGGTGTATTTTCCCGATGGACAGAGCAGGTTCATACCTAATCTGCTGTTGCTGGGCCATGGTTCTTGGTTGTTGTGAGTGCAGAGGCTGGTCAGCACAAAGGAGGAGGCCGCAGAGGGAGAGCAGGCAGAGAGTCCCTGAGAGACACTGAGCAAGGCGGGAGTGTAAGGAAGCTCAGGGTTATATATATATAGAGGCAAGTCCAGCCCTGCAGATCCAGGGATAAATTCAACATTACTCTCCACCCACTGCACCGCCAGCCAAGAAATGGAGCCAAGGTCAGTCATCACCCAAACAAAATCACACCACAAGCTCATTTTCTTCCACGGACACACCTGCCTAACATGTTTGGAAATGATTTCCAGTTGCCCAAAGATCTTCGATCCAAACACACTGATTGGGTAATAGTCAAATGGATTAGTGTCAGACAACTATGACACAACAATGGTTGTGCAAAAAGTGTTGCCATACAAATCCTGATTGTTTTTAGTACATCTATTATGATTTATAATCACAATGAATCAAAAACACCTCCAGACCAGAAAAACATCTTTAAGAAGAAACTTGAGTGCTTTTCTTAAATAAGTGCCTACTTTGGTACCAGGCCTGGTTTCTGTGATTTTGTTGTATTGGGGTAAATAATGGTACACGTTTTTTTTACAAAAATACTAAAGACTATGGTTTTACTGTATATTTAATGATACCACCTGTTACTGCAACCACGTTTAAATGGATTGATTGGATCTAATACAATAGTAGTTTTAAGCTAAAAGCTAGTAAAAACATTAGGCAAGTACTCACAGAAGAAAGTTTGCTGCGTCTGCTCTGCACCGAACAAAAAGTTGCACATTTTGAAGTGCAGCCCTGTCCTATGAGCTACCTCTGGACTACAGTTTGACAATGATGACTGGCTAGTTAAAAGATGTAAACGTATATTTCGAACGAAATGGTTACGGTATGTCTCGTTAAAAGCATGCTCGACCGACCTTAGATGAAAGCTAATGTCCTGCTTTAGCGAAGTTTAAGTGGCCTCTCACTCCAGCAGGCTTCAGGTCTGTATGAATGAATATCAAATTGAGGAAGCGCGTTAACCTTCCAGAGGCGTCACAGACCTGAGTTATCCAGTGACAAGAGGGGATTTGCAAAGAAGGATGGGCCAACTTGTCTCATAATTTGCACAGGTGAGCATGATGCAACTTTTCCCAAACATTTCTCACAGGTTGCTCAGACACATACTAATTCTGTATGGGCTCTCAAACCTCAGAATCCCAAACTAACCAAATCATTCTCCTCCTAAGCTTTACAGATGACACTTTACATGTAAATATAATTATAATCCACTAGTTTTTTCCATATATTATTTGTAATTTTTATTAATTTACATACTTTTCACAGTTAAATTAAATGCATTTTAAACAGTATATTTTGCAACATATTGCCGAAACCATAAACAGCTGAAGAGCAAATAAACACTCGTCCATCGGCTGAGTCATTTAGCATGCATGTGCATTGCATGTATAGGCATATTGTCAGTTTTTCACAGCGGGCTGGGTTTGGTTCTTCACACCGCCCAGGGTCACGGTGCATCGGTCTTTAGAGACCCGGCTGGTGCGGACACAGTGGTGCGAGCGCGTGTTGCAGCGCCTGCAGCTGCAGCGCTGGGCCGCAGGATAATACAGCTGTGAGTTTACATCCTGAGGGCAGCCCGGAACATGGACGGCTCGGTACACCAGAGAGAGAGGCACACAGCTGCGCTGGATCAAGAAAATCCTCCCGAACCTTCCTTTCAAATTGGTGTCCTGACAAAGGGGAAACAGCACTGTTAACATAAGATTGGGGCGTGTAAATTGTGTTACAGCACTTCTACCCATAATCAGTTTCACAAAGTAGGCTATAATTAAGCAATATATCACGGCCTGAAGTGAGCTATTGCTTTTATAAAACGGTTACCAAGTGTGGCAATATGAAAGAAAAATACACACTCTAATTTAAATAGTTTTTATTAGTAAATAATGATGTTCAAAATAAAATAGTCCCTCTGTTGCCTTCTGCACGAAACATAGTGCGAGGTGGTTGCTATGCAACAACACTAACAACAGCTAGCGAACATATTAGACAGAGAGCGTTGATCCATTATTTGGCTATTTATTTACATTAATGTGTATGTTGCCGTTTATTGTGCACCCACTGAAAAACTGTCCAGCATCAGTAGCATGGCTTACGTGGTTACTTGTATAGGCTGAGGTTGTTCTAGGCCAGGGGTCGGCAACCCTTTTGATATGAAGTGCCATTAAAAAAAAAGATTGTTATCAGCGTGCCAACGATCGAGAATTATCAACGGGGGGGGGGGACGGGGGGTTGAGGAGCTTGACGCTCATGAACTATCAACAGGTGTGTGGACCTGGTTTAAACGGCATAATAATAAGGACGATCAGGGGCGTCGCCTGGACCTGAAAACATTCGGGGCTTAGCCCACAGTGGCGGCGGCGCTACAGTGGAATATTCTACTGCAACACTCTCCACACGCACACACACAGTATACCCGTGACTGTTACAATGAAGGCTCGATAATCATCTCACCTCATATAGGCAGGGGTAAAGTGCTATTTTTTATGAGTGGGGGGGGGGGGGGGGGGGGGACCTAACCTCCTCTAGGGGGGTCCGGGGGGATGCTCCCCCGGGAAGATTTTTTTTTAAATATTGAAGTTAAAAGCATCAATCTGGTGCACTTTGAGAGCAACATTAAGAGATCTATGGATACATCTCTCAACACCCATTTGAAACAGAACTGTAAACAGATTTACTTTTTCTTTAAGGATATTTTACAAATCACTCCCCTTTTAAACTCTATTCTTGTTTTACTGCCATATAGTATTTCATAACTGTTTTTCCTTTATTGTCTTTATTTTTTTTATAACTATAATGATCATATAAACATGTGCCGCGGAAATAATCTTTTGAATCATTTGTGACCAAACCGTTTGACACCCACTGAGATAACAGACTAAAGTAAACTATCTAAACACTCAGAGAGTCCTTTAGCTCACCTGAGCCTCTCAGTCTGTCAGGAGAGGACTCTCCTCCAGCTTGTTGTGGAACAAACAGCTCCTTATGTCCGTTTATCAGCTAGCTAACCAGATGCTAACAACACGGTCCCTCTCTCTCCCTCTCTCCCTCTCTCTCTCTCTCTCTATCACACTAAATGCGCTATTGCCACACACACACAGAGCCGAGCTGACACAAGCACACGTTTATTTCCATGCAACTCTCTGATTGGTCTGGTGTCATGCCTCTGTTGCATTCACTGAACACGGGAAATTACAGTCCTGCCGTCCTCTCTTGTGTCATGATGAGGTTCACGTAAAGCACGGTTAATGTATTATATTATTGAGGGAGAATTGTCCGGGGCTACAGAAAAAACATTCGGGGCTAAAGCCCCGGATGCCCAGGCCAGGCGACGCCACTGAGGACGATCGTCCGTTCTGTGATTCTCCAGAACACACATGTTATGATATTAGGGTCATGCAGAGTGAGATGAGATCGCTGTCCCTTTAAGAGAGAGAGAGAGGGGTGTGGCGTGTGCATGTGTGTGTGTGGATGGTAGAGCGAGAGTGAGCGAGCGTGTGTATGTTTCTGGAAGTGAAACGAGGCAGCAGAAAAACAGGTCTGTGATGTATTTTGTGAAACAGAAGAACAGCTAAATAAATGCAACGGCCTCCCAAGAAGAGCTCGCCTCTCTCCAGTCATTTAAGCTAAAGTGGGTTATTGAACCTGAAGCTTGTTGCTTCTGCCCTCCTCGACTACGGTCTGGGAGCCGACAGGAAAGTTCAACACACAGATGGCCAGTCCGCCCCTTTGTAGCATATTATTTCAATGAGAGACATACTTGCCAACCTTGAGACCTCAGAAATCGGGAGCATTTCCAAAACCACCGCGGGGGGGGGGGGGGGGGTGCTAGTGGATCGCCGGAGCTGTATTAGATGCTTATTGTAGTTGTAAGTGCACTGCCTTGCGGCCTGTAGCACCATATGTGTGGGCAGGAAAGGAGTGAGCAGAGGGTAGAATTGTCTATTCTTGTTCTGTTTGCTGTGACTATCTTCCTCACCCTCTCAGACTTTCAGTTGCGCACGCTACGCTACCATGGAAACCAAACAATGGTGTAGCTGTATTAAAGTCCGAGTGGAAACAGTCCTGAGTAAATCTGATTTTGTCAGAAATCGGGAGAAATGCGGGAGAAATATGACCCCGGGAGGAAACCGGGAGAGGGCAATGAAATCGGGAGTCTCCCGCGAAAATCGGGAGGGTTGGCAAGTATGATGAGAGATGAGCAGATCGCCACTGGGCTTTCAACTAAAGACACAGCCACGCAAAAACTGCGGCATTTGTAAAGCTCCTTATGGGTACTGCAATTTGTGAAGTGCTTTCCTCTGTGGTGAAACGATCAGCCCTGCACCACGGAGGAAAGCGGCAGAAAGTCACCTGGAGTTAAAGAGAGCGGGGCTGCGCTGCGTGCGGGGAGACGCGCTCTGGCGGCGGTCTCGTTCAGGATCCGAAAATACAATTTAAATATTTTGCACACTTATTCCACTTATTCCTAGGGTGCCACTGGTTACGGTGCCGCGTGCCAATGCTGGCACGCGTGCCAGGGGTTGCCGACCCCTGTTCTAGGCTGTTGCTTGGCGTGGCGAGAATATTGCTCCACTTTCTCCGGTCCCCGAGATTCGGCTTCCAGTAGCTCAGCTCTGGAGAGAGCTTTCGCACCTGTGGCCACTAACGGTCATAATTTCTCTGCTTTGTTTCAAGACCCGCATCAGAAAGCTTTTGAATGGTGATACGTTTCCAGTTGGTCTACCTGCTCTTCACGTAGCTCTACATGTCGTCGTTTAGGTGCTTTTTGTTCTGGAGATAGGCACTCCTCAATCCACTCCTCCATAGTAAGACCCCCCCCCCGGAGGTCGAAGTTAATCTTAAATGTTTTTGCGGACCTTTTTGATTACAGATTTGAAAACATCGTTGCTTGCTTTAAAAGTAGCACAATTCATTATGTCAAACCTTGGAAAGTATCTAAATATCCCTGCCCTAATGCCAAAGGAACTGCACACTGAATATGTTTTTGCCGTTTGATGTCTATGTCTGGACCGTTGCGTAAAAAGGAGGGTTTCTGCCTCGTTACTTCTCCGCTGCTTTCTTGTTCCAACTGTATACTGTTTATCTCAGACGCGGAGGGATACTGAGTTGTTGTGAAAAGTAACTTACAATTCTACCTGTGGTATACGCTCAGTATACCACGGCTAAGAACCAATCAGATTGCTTGATTTTACTTGTCCGTTTTATAATGTAAAACAAACCAAGATTTTCATTTGGATCCACATGTTGCACTTAGATTAGAATGAAACTAAGTAGGCTATTTTACTCAAGTGTAATGTAACCTACAATTAAATGTTATGTCAAGGTACTCTTTGCTATAGGCTACTATAGCCTACTACACTATATTTGACACTTAAATATTGTACTTATTACTCCTCTATTTTCGCACTTAGTTACTTTACCAATTTTTTTAATTCGGAAATTGGCCATTGTAGCTACTTAATATTATGTGTTTTACTTTGGGTGGTTTAAAGGCGCTGAATTCCAAATTCAGAACATTAATTTAAAAGCAGAAAACAATTTTCTCTATAAAAACATAGTGGTGTAATGTTGTCCTGAGCAGATGATAAAGTCACACTGCTCAGGACAACACTACACCATGTTCTGCTGTGTTTGTTGAAATATAAGCTTCTCTGTGCTTTTTTATCCAGCCGGTACTGCCGCGTTTGGATTTGAATCTCTGTGTGCGTATGTCCAACTGACTAGCTAATGGCCTATGCTCTGTTTTCTTACAGTAATTGTTCCTGAAACAAATAAAACCCCTCAGTTTAAAACTCTTAACTCTTTAAACACTGTTGCTGTTGTTTGCACTGTTCATGCTGTTAGCACTGTTAGCTTTTAGCCGCCCGTTTAGCCGTCTCCATGTTGTTAGCCGTGTGGAGACAATCACTTAATCACAGATGTGATCTTTACTAGGAGTTTACTTCAGCCACCATGTGGACTTCCAACTTCCTTTGTTTAGACAATTTAAGATGATGAATCAAGGTATAGCATTGCACTATGTTGCATCAAGTATTCTTTTCATGGGCATAACCACGCCAACAGCATGCTTCCTTGTTTGGATTCATGCATCAAAATGTTCAGCTAAAGACTTTCTATGGACAGTGGAGAGTGTATAGTCACCTGTGTGTGACAGTAGCCGCTGCATATGGTTGTGTTGATTGCCACACACTGGCCGCAGTCTTGCCTCTCAATCCATATGGTGTGATTCTTCAGCATACAGGAAAACACTGTTCCATGCATTAACGTACACAGCAGCATGCATTTCAACACTAACGACGGCATTCTGAAAATGAGACATTTTGAAAATCATTATTACAAAAACAATATATACACTCAGGAGAATTTCATTGCAACAATATCAACATGTTAGGTTCATGCAAACTTAGATTGAAGAGAAAAAACACACCTTGACATCTGACCTCTCGGAATTACGAGATATCCAATGAAAACAATATGAATTTAAGCCTGAAGGATTTGACTTCAGAGGAAATGGTTTTAGATATCCAATAAATCTGTGTTGTCTTAATCAAATAAGTGGATGATAGTTCTGGATTCTTCCTCTTGTTCAGTCCACTCAGTTCCCCAACTCCACCATGTTCCTCTCCTTTATGAAATTCTGAAAAGATGATTGTTGTCTATCCTCTTTTATGGAAGCCTTAATCCACCTCGACTGCCCCAGTACACTAGAAGTCTAAAATATCATTCCAGAAATCACATGAATGTGGGTGTGTTTAGTGTGTGTGTTTTTGTGTGTGTGTACAGTGTTCCTTTTCACAGGTGATATTGAAGAATATGGGCTCAACCATTGGGTAGGGGGCTGGTCAAACCCGATTCACGTGGTTGATTCCTCACGTTTTAGACCATGTGAAGTCCACCTTCTCTCCCTGTGTTTTGATTTAATTTGCAAGGTCCACCCACCAAAATTCCTGAAAGTAAGTCCCTTTTTCGAAAGTGAAACCCTGAAGATAAACTAGTGTTTGCAAATTTGTAAATGAAGACTGTAAAACCACATTTAACCTATTTCATAGCATGAATGGCTATTTGTGCACTTTAATTATGAGTTTATCAAATAATCAATTCCCAAATCAATATTAAGGGCATTCATCAGTTATTAAATGTGAAAGAAATAAAGTTAAATATTTCTTAATTTCTAACTATACTATATTTAAAAAGTGATCTCATTTGGCTGATGCTGGGTCAACTCTCTCATGTTTCTGTCTCTAACTGAGTGAAAAGGTTATGCCCTCCTTTTCTAAGCCATTAATGCTTCCATTATTCCCATCTGTTACTAATGTGAGTGGCCATGTGCCATAATTTTCCCCTCACAAAGTAGTCAATAAACATGTTTACCAAACACAATTGATCCTAATCATGCCATCATCATGTCCAAAGCACACTTCATGATCCTCAATGCAAACACAGGCTTGCTTCCACTATTCAATTAAAAACACAGGTCTTGATCCTGTTCTCTTCAACCATCTATATATCTAAAGTTAACAATCATGGTAAACAAAAATAAGGATCAGAATTATTCCAGAAAATTGATGTAAATCTACACTGAAATACGGACAAATGCAGGGACAGTTCAATTAATTAAAATATACAATATTACCGTATTATGGTTTTCCCTCTATGCTGCTGACGTGGCCACTGTTTCTGCCATTCTGCTTAATGATAATCATGTTGGATCACATGTCACAACTCCATCAGATAATTGCAACAAAGTGGGTTGTTGACAGTTCAGCAACTATCTGCCCTGACACAGATCCAGCTTTATACAGATGGTCGGATTATATTTTGTGCAAGGTCTCGAAACAAAAAAACTTCAATAGCTCAAAAAAGTAGTGGCATGCTTAAAAACACTGTGCACTGTGTACTACTAGGGTCATGATTGGGTCAAAAGCAGGTATTGTTTTAGATTACAAGATGGTAACTGTGCCTTGAAACAATGAACAATTGCTTTATTTTTTTGTGCAGGAGGAAAGCGGAGATACAGCACTTAACACAATGACACGTCATATACATTCAAAGTAAAAGACACATGTTGAAACTATTTGTACCTTTTAAGATGAAGTAGAGACCATGTTGCGAATGTATCACCCTACTTCAGGAGACATGGCTTGGACCACGTACATTAATTATGGGACTTTATCTTGAATCTTGAATCGTTCTTATGCTAAAGCTGTGCAAAATGTGTTCACAGGCAGACAGATATACACACCTGGCAAAGTACTCAACATGCCTTCTGTGGTAATTTGAGTAATAGTATTAGTAAGTGTTTCAAGGATCACATTGCAAGATATATTTATTTTTTGTACCCGTTGCTTTGAAAAATAAAGGTCTAAAACTCTGCATGCAAGAATGAATCTTCTCACTCAGGTTAGTTGTCAAATTTCCAAGCAAATATGTGGATAGGTTCATTATAAACGTAGGAATTGGCAAACTAACAGGACAGGCCATTTAGTTGCCCTTCTGCTCAACCCTTCCCTTGTCACCCTTATCATCACGATGTCTGCAGATGCTGTTTGAGGTTAAAGGTTTGAGTCTCTCTTTTCTGATCATACTGTCCGGGTAACTCTACACGCTCCGATAAGACCCTTGAGCTGGGTCAGACAGAAACATGAAACCTTTTTGTTTGATATTAGCCATGCCCTGGCCATGCCCCCAGGTCAAGAGGTCACAGACTAACACAGAGTAAAACCAACCTGAATGACCTGGTCCAGCAAAATCAGTAATTGTGCATTATTATTATTTGATAAGCTATACATATTAAAGTACAGATATCTTTTCTCTTAACATAGAAAACACTATTTGCCTTGTTTTCTTTTGTTGATGTTTTTTATTTGTTTGGTTGTATGTAATTATAATGGAAGAATATTAAAAAGATTGTTAAAAAAAAGCTACATATAGCTTTAATATAAATGTAATACATGTATATACATGTAATACTATGTAATTAAAAGAGAAAATCTTGTGAAACAAGTTTAACAATGAAAAAGTGGGAGGAGAGTAGTCTGAATTGGGTTCTGGAGCTGTGCTCCACCTCATACATCGCACTCATTTGCTAGCCACGAGCGATTCCAAGTCAGTGAGCGTCACATCCACCGTGAGGCGCTGAAACTGCGCCACACGGTTTCTCCTGCAACAACTGCTCACGTTGACCCATATTTTCTGTTCGCTCGCTCACCCGAATCAGGTGATACCCTGCTAGGGTAACTATTGGCTCTTGTCTCAGACCTTCCCCGAGGTGATTGGTGGAGTGACGAGCACTCAGCATGTGACCTCTACAATGAGCTTCCGCCCACGGAAGTAACATGGCGGACACGTCGTATTAATACTGTGTTAACTTGGAACACACACTTCGTTGTGGTGCAAATTATACCAAATCAAGTAGGCGTATTTTTTTATACCAGCGAGGCCGTCCGCAACATAAAAGCCAAACTTGAATGTTGTACAATTTTTCGTTTCAAGCTGTTTGTAGTTTAAGTTTAGCTGTTGAAGAGTAGAATGAACCCCAGTGGCATGCTGGGAAACAGAGCCGTTTTCCTTCATATTAACTGGGAGCATTTATGTCTGTAATCTACTGTCTTTTAAAATTAATAATACACTTTATCCGCCAAAGTCATTTTTGGACCAGAAATCTTCCATTGAGAACTACAGGCAAATGTTTCCACAGTATTTTCTTTAAAGTATCTGAACACTTTATATATAATGAGAGTACCTGAAAAAAAAAACTGTCTTATATCAAAGTAAATTAACATATTACATTAATAGTAACATAAAATGTAAATGAAAAATGTAATGCAACATAAATCAAAACATGAAAACAGTCACAATGCAAAGACAAGACTTTTTCCCAGAATCACAGAATTCTGAAATATTTATTTTAACATACTCTGAATTTGCCCAAAAGCAACCATCAACAAAAGTAGGAGGTAGAGATAGCAGTCAGTTGTTCTCCAATTATGTTCTCTGCAGTGATTTCATGTTACCACTAGATGGCAGTCAAACACAGTCCCACATTAAGTCCAATCATAATTGTGAAAGTGCGGACAGATATTTTGCTTACACACGCAATATGCCAGTCTAAACTTTGACCTTTTTCCAATTCCTTTATCACACTTAGGGCTTACACATTTTAAATACAAAAATTAATGGAAGTTATATGCACTCATTATGCATATATGTTAGCATTCTAAACACATACAGTAGCAATAACAAACTCAATAACTCAAGAACTTATCCCGAATGGGCCTTGCACTTGTTTATTTCATTTACACACTATCACAATAACATTAAAGTGCTGTTCAACAGTGTTTAGTTCCAATTCATTGTCTAATAGAGAAAACAATGAGCAGCTGAACAGCTGATATGCAAACCACAGCAACAACAGGGAAGCTGTTTAATTTGCCCTGCATGTGCATTGCTTTGGTAAGCATATTGTCAGGGTCCCACAGCGGACTGGTCTGGCTCTTCACACAGGGTCACTGTGCATGAGTCATTAGAAATCTGGTGTTGACACAGTGGGGTGTGTGTTGTAGCCTGCAGCTGCAATAGTTGGCTGGTTGATAATGCAGCTGGGAGTTTTACATCCTGAGGGCAGCCTGGCACATGGGCGGTTCGGTACCCCAGAGAGAGAGGCACACAGCTGGGCTGGATCAGGACCCACATCTCAAACAGTCCCCTCAAATTGGTATCCTGAAAAAGGTCAAACATGACTGTTAACATGACTTGGGGAGTGTGTCAATAATTGCGATACAATTTAGTAAGCAATTTTACACTTCTGCCCATATCACTTTCAAAATGACCAGTTCCTTGTCACAGTCTATGTTAAAGAATATGGGCCCAACCATAAGGTTTGATGCTGGACAAACCTGATCCACATGTTCATTCCTCACGTTTTAGGTCATATGAAGTCTGCTGTCCTGTGTTTAGATGTCATGCACAGGATGCCCCAGAATTCCTGAAAGTGAGTTCCTTTTTAAAAGACACACATTTAAACAAAATTGAAACATTTTAATTCATTAATATTTTCCATGTATTGTTACCTTTTAAGACAGGGGAGTTGACCTGAACCAGGCTCTGACCTGAACTATTGAAGAAGCAATTTATTAAAGTACCCAAAATAAAAATGAAATTAAGTTCATAATTATTTGTTATTATTTGAAGTGATCTCATTTGGCTAATGCTGGGTCAGCACGCTCATGTTTCTGTCTCTGAGTGAAAAGGTACCCTCCTTTTCTAAGCCATTAATGCTCACATTATTCCCATCTGTTATTCATGTGAGTGGCCATGTGCCCTTTTTTTCACAAAGTAGTCATTTTTGAAGAGCTATTGGTTGCTGAAGACATTGGATCCGTGAGTTCATATACAGAAATTATTAATATATGGCCCGAAAATCTTAGCGTAGCTCTTTAAACGTATAAGTTGTTAGTTTTGATGTTTCATTAATAGTAGAG